CCCAGCAAGCTGCGTTTCTACATCAATCAACATTGAGCAGATCTTATCGAGAGACAGGACATCTTTCATGGTGGTTATGAACGCAATGTACGGTTGGTACTCTCAGGGAATACCTTTGAGAATGCTCGCAACATGTTCGGCCTGAGGAATTACACTGTCACACGAATCTAATGCATCACACACTTCTTTGATACGAGAAAGGTACGTTCGCATGCTATCACTACCTTTCTTGAGTGACTAAAGTTTGTAATGAATGCTGATAACCGTCATGGTGGACCGATTTGCAAAATATTACAGTACCTTGCTCCAGACTGCCACCGCCGTCTCCACTCCAACAAATTGGGAAAGAAAATGTGGGCTGATCGTGGATAGTAACCAAGAAGCTAGTGCACTGTCTTGTGCAAAAAATTCCTCATGCAGTTCATTTTCCATTGTATCACCATTCTCATCCTCGATTGTTACCGGAGGAGGACATGTCGCTCCGGTCAGTAACCGTTCCAGCCGATGACTGTGAACAGTCAACAAGATCTGTTGTTTCTATAGCAGGAAATTAGCTTCATCAAGGATGATGTTAACCTTCTTGTTTGTGAAAGTTTTTCCAGCAGAAACCTCAATGACCGAGAGTTTAGCACAACATGCTAGGGAACCTCAGGAACGTCCGGCGAATGATACCATGTAAGCAATGTAGAAAACTGTAGCAATGGAAAAAACAGAAATGAACAAGAAGTACATTCTTTATTGAATCAACTTAGCTTTCTTCACTCTTACACTTTACGTTTATAGCACATTTATAACAAACTCTAATATTTTAACAACCCTAAAATTATTTCCTAACAGCTTCATATGATGGTTAGCCACATCCATCATCATTCTTCAGCTTATATGTATGACATGCATGGACACTCTCATTCACGTGCATGAACATATCTCAATACCAGAAATTGACACCCACGACCAAGGCTTTAATGATAAAAAACACATCTTTTTTCTCGGGACGTAAAGCCTTGATGGTCTTCCCAAGCAGAGGAAAGCAAACACCAATTGCTCCGGGGACGAGGATAGAGGCTATCGCAACCATCTTGTATCCAGCGCCAGAGACCTATAACCATCGTTATCTTTCAGATCGCAGTTGTTTTCTCCTCTTACAAGGAAATTAATTAGGGTTAGAAATAAACAGAGAAATGTGAAAAATTGTGCTTGTTTCATGGCTGCAAGTAGAAACTGAGGAAAGACAAGTTTTTGTTTGAAGAGATAATGTGAAATCAAATAGAAAATGCATATATAATTTTCAATAAAATATAGGGTAAAGAATAGTAATGGTCACTAAACTTTTCTAAAGCTTTCATTTAGGTTCCCCAACTTTTAAAACTTACAATACAGTCCTCCAATATTTAGTTCGCTTGCAATATGGTCCCTGTCGTTACACTGTCGTTAGTACGTTTATAATATGGTCACTAAACTTTTCAGGTGCTTGCATTTAGGTCTCCCAGATTTTAAAACTTGCAACACATTCCTTAATTTCATTCTAAACCCTAAATTTCTTTTCGATCTCGATTTTCCTTTTCGCTTCTCTCTTCTCATTTCCAGTGTAACTTTTCAGTTGGGGATGCATGGAAAATTCTAATCTAACTTTGAATTATGTGGAGGTGTTGACTTGAATAAAGGTCCATTGAGAGAATACCCGACCAAGGGACTATCGGGACCATTAACGATTCAAGTGTAATGTTAGATACAGGTTATCTAAGGTGAAGCATAGATGTTTGATGAAATGCTTGTGAGAAAAAAATAGGGTTAGAAATGCAGAGTTGATAAATACTACTAAGATGAACTAAGTATCATTGTTGAAAGTCACCAACAAAGTTGTAATTATTTTGTATAAATGGCATATGAAAATTTCTTCGTTTAATCCTTGTGGTTAAAGATTTTCCAATAAATGATCAAATATAATGAAATCTCAAACAGCTCATTCACCTTTCAGTCTCTTTCGCAACTTGAAAGGCATCATGACAGGGTCAAGTAGCTGCTCCAAATATACTACCCTGTTATGATGCCTTTCGAGTTACGTGCATGCAGAATTGTCTTCTAAAGCTATAATTCAATTAAATTCAATTGTAAAATTTTCAAAACATGTAAAAAATCCAATTCATTCACAATATATCAGTCTCATAATCAACATGAACTTATTAAAAAGAATACGAGCTCACAGGACGCCGAAAACCATAGGTCGAATCAATACAATTCCCAGTAAACTAGTACCAGCAGTCTCTCGGATTGAGCCTTGCGATTTCACTATGTCGATACTCACAACCAATTCCCTGATTCAAAGAAAAACCAAACAAGAAGAAAAAAAAATTTAGCCTAGGACCCTCTTTCACTTCTATTCTGATGGACTGAATATCTTTCATAAGAAGTACTAAAAGTTTTGATTAAGAAGAAAGAAAGAAAATTAGATGGTTTTGGTTCAAAACTAACACTGAATATCCAAATCATTGACATGCAGTTCCAGAAACATAAAAATTTCAACAAAAAACACATAATGCGAGCTGAAAATGAGAAAGTGCGAAAGAGGAAAAGCTTACTTCCGAATAGCCCAAAAGATAAAATAAATACCTTCTTGCAAGTGAAGGGAGAGGCTAAGAAATAAATACAATCGGTGTTGCGTTCCAGCAATTCTTCATCTATTTTTTCTTTGCAAAAAAAAGTTGAAAGACAGAGCACTGCTTGGGTTTACAATTTTACATGGCAGAAAATTGAAGAACAAAAACCAAATGAGAGTGCATGTAAGCGAAAGAGATTGAGAGGTGAATGCGCTGTTTGGGATTTCATTATATTTGATCATATGTTGGAAAATCTTTAACCACAAGGATCAAACGAAGAAATTATTATATGTCATTTATACGAAATAATTACATCTTTATTGGTGACTTTCAACAATGATACTTAGTTCATCTTAGTAGTATTTATCAACTATGCATTTCTAACCCTATTTTTTTCTCACAAGCATTTCATCGAACATCTATGCTTCACCTGAGATGACCTGTATCTAACATTACACCTTGAATCGTTGATGGTCCCAATAGTCCCTTAGTCGGGTTTTCTCTCAATAGACCCTTATTCAAGTCAAACACCTCCACATAATTCAAAGTTAGATTAGAATTTCCCATGCACCCCCTACTGAAAAGTTATGCTGGAAATGAGAAGAGATGAGCGAAAAAGGAAATTCGAGATTGAAAACTAATTTGAGGTTTAGAATGAAATTGAGGAATATGTTGCAAGTTTTAAAAGTTGGGGACCTAAATGCAAGCGTCTAAAAAGTTCAGTGACCATATTGCAAACGTACTAATGGTAGTGTAACGGCGGGGACCATATTGCAGACGGAATAAATGTTGGAGGACTGCATTGTAAGTTTTAAAAGTTGGAGGACCTAAATGAAAGGTTTAGAAACGCTTGGTGACCATTACTATACTTTACCCTAAAATATAACTTGTTTTATATAGATTATCAGACAATCCCTGACTTAATCTCAAACCATTGAGGCCACATGATTTGTCCTCCCATGCGCCTGCATCTGGTTTGGTTACACACTAAATTCTTATGATTTTGAAAAGTCAACCAACTAATGTATGCAAAATTACAAATCACAACTCCTTTTAATAAAAAAATGACAAATTTTTTTATTTAAAACTAAAAGAAATAAATCCCCTTACCACAAAAGCTCTGTTGCAGTTATAAAAGTTTTGGGCGGTCACCACAAGGGCAACGGTGGTGGTCTCCTCCGGACATTTTCCAGTCATTTTTATTTTATTGTTATTTAATTTTATTAATTTTCAGTTATATTTTAACGAATTTAGAATAATATATTACGGTTTTACATTAAAAACTAAAAGATAAGTGGTACTATATTTTACGGTTTTAATTTTTAAAATCAACTAAATTAAGATAAATTAATTAATTTCACTTTTTAACTATCTACGCCACTTTATTTTCCAACAAAAAAAAAACTTTATATAAAACAAAAGATTAACCCATTATAGAGAGCAAAGAGATTCGAAGGATTAACATTTAATGGCCTCAATGGGTCTTCTTCATCATCTGATGATACACATATAAGAGCGAATAATAGTGTATAGCGTTGGCTCATATTTTACTTTTTCTAGACTTTATATGTTCGCTTTAGATTTTGACAACTTGAGGTTTGAGAAGTTCAAATCATAAATGGTCCTTAGGGCCATTAAAGATTAATCTCATGTTTTTCTGAATTGGTTTTTATAATCCCAGTCTAATCTAATGCTCAAAAAAATTCATTTGAGTAATTGTCTTTCTGGCCTGGGGAAGCAGGTCAGTCTGGAACAAGTTTAATCTTTAATTCAGCTTAAAATGTTATTTAATAAAAAATTATAAAACTTAATTTATAAATATTTTTTATTAGTTTACAAAGCATCATAATAACTGTTCCTGAAATTTTGATCAAGTCAGAGGTTGAGCACATCAATGAAATAAACATACATAATTTACTTTTTCTGTCAAAATAGATGGATGCTTTTTATTCAAACAAGAGAAGAAACATGAACATGCAACTTTAATATTAAAAACGCATGGAGTTCTTTTTCCTACTCCTTTGTAAAATAGTTCCAATTCACTGGAAAAAATAAATCCATATCATCTCCAATAAAATTACAGGTAAAAATGAAAATTTTAAAAATTAATTAAACTCGTGTCAATTTATATTCGGTTGAACCTTTAATAAAGGAAAACTAAAACTAGTTAATCCTCTCCATAAAAAATATAAAGTTATAAAAGAAAAATAAAAATACAAGACTTCTAATAAAATTTTAAAAATTTTATTTAAAAAAAAAGTTATAAAATATCCCAAAAATATATATATATTCGCGCCAAGCCTGTACTCATCAACTGAGCCACTTCCCAAAAAGACAAAGCTGCTTTCTTTTTCTCGTGTGCAAAGATGAAAGTTCAATTTTTATAGTTAAAAAGCAAACACGTGAAATGAAGATATATGTCTTCTTACTAACGCCTACAACATAGATAGATACACGGTTCCACTTAACACCTTGGGTTCCTTGGTGAAGTACAACTCAAGAGGTTAGAAAATTATGATAAATACTTTCCTTACCCTATTACTTTGTCCACAGTTTATAATGACTTGGCTAGAATCAAGAATTAAGTGCACGAAAAACATCATCGGACTTCCCACTGCAACCGATACTAATGAGCAATTCGAATACACTTGAAAATCTTCAAAGAGCTCATGATGCGAAACGTGACGGGAAAACCATCCATTACCATTGTCAACATCATGCAGATCAAAGGAAGCTGAATCCTTGTTTGCTCTCACCCTTCCTCCCAATCTACATCATCCTCATCATCTCCAGATTCTTCTGCTTCGACATTCAGGTCGACCTTATAACTCTCAGTTGTATAACCTGAAATACACCCAACATCATAATCATTATGAACTTATATAACTAGTTGGACACTTTCGTCTGAAAAAATATACACGAGGCATGAGGATTGAACTTGTATCAACTAGCTCTTGCTTCTGCAACGGATATCAAAAGGCAACAAGATTGGAACTCGTAAAACATGGACATGGAGATAGGCTAACTGTTTGAACAGGGTGCTGGGCAACGCTACCAGTAGGTATAATGTACAATCTTCTTGTAATATGTATCTATGTATATATATAATAACTGATTGGGGAATAAAACTGCAATAGGCAATGACCAATTGTGAAAATTACTATCCATTGTAATTATGCACACCTGAACTAACACAAATATAAGACTTCTGTGACCAAAAGAATATAAAACTAGCTCAAAGTATACAATCTGGCCAGTCTATATTTGTCACCTCACATATTCCCCACAATACAAATCCTTTATGTTTTATCTATTGATTAATAGAGTTATTAGCAAGCAGCAATTCTAATTCAATTAAAATATGATGCAATTGATAAAGCTGAGAATTTGCACCCATAAAAAAGTACCATTCTTTCATTCTTAAATCTCAGATGTCCGCTTGATTTGTAAACTTTATCCTTAAACTATCACAAAAGCTAGATTGGCCCACCCGAAATTGAATTTCAATTAAAGGCAACATTAAAAAAAAATTCCATTTTAGCGAAGATAAGAAGGTACCTCTAGTTTGAGATAGTTCAAGCAAAAAGGTGGGGACATGCACTTTGAAACAAAAGTACACATTTTTTATTATTAGATTAGGGTACCAAATTTTAGTATGTTGTTTATATTGGAGAATTTAATTTAATAGAAGACACGTCAGACAATAACAAATTCTGAAGTCCAAATAAATTCTAAACAGTTTTCATAGTTATCAAAGAGAAACCAAGTTGTATTCTGAATAGAAAAGAAAAGCGGCACTTACCTGCAATAGGAGCTTCTTCCCAACAAATATCATCGTCTCCCTCAGTGTCATTACGTTTAACTTTCATACCAACTTGACGATTGGAAGAGTCAGAAAGACTAGTGGCTGGAGGAACATCTGACAGTTCTTGTTTCTTAGCGGCGGCTTCTAGTTCTTGTTGTTTCTTATACAAAGCAGCATAATAAGCTTTAAGATACTCGTCCTTCAATACAGCGGGAAAGACATTCTTGTAAGTTTAACACTTCAAGGTGGGGCAAAGTGAAGGAAAAATAAGAGGGAAAGAATAATAACCCATCTCATTGTACATACCTGTATATTCGTCTTATCATCATTTTCAGCAGTGGACTTCTTGTCATCTGAAAGATCAGGTTGTGCTGAGTTGCCATCTATCTTTGACTCCTGCTTGACCTCTCCACGTTGTTCCTTTGTCAGGTTCATTCCTTGCTTTATCATCCAAGGTGGCAAAACTTTCAAGGATGAGCTTGCACTTTCAGACTTGACATCTTCCTTGCCATCAACACCAGGAAAGGCAACTTCAACCTGCCAGGTAAGAAGCTTTAAAAACAATCCACATTGACGGTAAAAAAGACAACATTTGAATTTAAGAAATGGCATGGCAAACACAGTAGAGGAGAATCTTTAGTAAAAAAGAACATAGAATCCACACTTCAAGAAACAATACTAACTACTAAGCATTGAAAGAAACTGATTGTTGAAGAACACTGACTTACGACAGTGATAACTCTTGACTGACTCTTCATAATAGTGATGGTCTAAGGGGAAATCTGTTTCAGCATAAATAGTTGGTTACATAAGAAGCAATGGATTACTAACTTTCACCAAGGCATCAGATGCATTATATAAGTTAGCATGTTGCATGAAAATTCTACGAACTGTGGATGCATGACAGTAAATACCCATTCAAAGAAGAAAATTCTAGGAAATTAACCTACAATAATTCATGCAGAAAATATGCCAAAGTCTAGCATCAATATTAAACGAAAGTAAATGACTTAACCAAATGTTAAAACCGACCAAAGGTTTGATCAGTTTCCTCCGAATTTTGGCCACCCCTAATATTACATGAGAATTACAGTCAATTCATCTTACCTTTGTCTCCCCATTTAAAGAAAAACAAATTCTAGGAAATTTTAAGCTGTTGCTCCTCATGGTAGACAACAAAGAGAAATACAGTTGAAAATAAATCTTACCTTTGTCTCCCCAAGAAATGGCATAGGTGTCCCCCCATAACCCTGAGAATTTTTGGAAGGATCATTTGAACCAGAATGTACTGCACGCCCGGCAGCACTAGCTCGAGCTTCCCATGCTTGGAGACTTCCAAATTCAGGAATAGGCATATCTTTTACTCTATTGAGTTGTTCCATTAATGGTTTAAGCTGCACCTGTTGTCATTTCATTGTGTCAAGTCTCAACTTTAAAATTGCAATACAAAATATAAACAAAGAAAAGAATGAAGTCAGAAAGGCTTGCATTTTTCTATGAACATATACTGCAGAAATATATATATATATAAATAAGGTAAGAGTTTGAAGGACCTATATGATGATCAAAATTGGTTGTCACAACTATTTGTAAGGAAATTATGGTACAATGAAAGAGATCAACAATCTCAGGATAGGACAATTTTGCAAGTGTTTCCCCCAATCCCTCCAGGAGGATTTTATCTTATTTTATTTTTTTCATGATTCTCAGAAGCAAGCAGCTTTAGAGGAGCCTAACTGTCTCATGGTGTTTGATTGTAAGATCAAGACTGACAGAAACAAATGAAGTGCATGTTAGCGCTCTGACCAGGCTTATGGAATGATATCTAACATGGTAAAGTTGTCTTCGAAGTACTTTTTTTTCTAAAGCCATTAGATTCAGGTTAGGTAGCCAGTCCACACTGTCTTCAGAATGCGTAGCTTCAGTACTCAAGCTGTCTTTCAAAAAATAACAAGAGGGAAAAACGCATCTGCAAGTTCATTCAGCTTCATATATATGCTTTTCAGGTCTATATATGCTTTTTCCAATGCTGAATCGATGACCTATGTATAAAGGGATAAGAATTCTTTGAATTTGAAGGGAAAAAAAACAACTTTGCTGACAAATTACAATTAGACATTATACAATTCTAAGTACAATTAGAAATTCTAAATTATATGTAAATTTTGTATTTATTATTTATTTATTATACTTTTTAGTTTTTTGATATATTTTTTATTTTGGTCAGAAGAATCCTCCGAATATTCTGGTCTTGGATTAGTAATTATTTTTGATATTTTGGAATATGACTAGAGAAGAGTGAGAGAGTAAGCTCATTCCATTAGAAAAAAAAAAGATATGGGAATTAATTCCCAATAAATAAGAAATAATTAGCGTGAGAGCCAAATGAATTGAAAGATTCATGTTTGGTTAAGGAAGGGATCATGGAATTTTTAAAATAAAAAAAATGAATGTAAAGATAATCTACTTTCATTAAGTGATTTATTAGATAATCGAAAAGAGAGGATCTTGAATACTATTCGAAATTCAGAAGAACTACGCGAGGGGGCTATTGAACGGCTGGAAAAGCCCGGGCCCGCTTAGGGAAAGTAGAAAACGAGGCGGATCAGTTTTGAGTGAATGGATACTCTGAGATAGAACGAGAAAAATTGAATTTGATTAATTCAACTTATAAGATTTTGGAACAATTAGAAAATTACAAAAATGAAACCATTTATTTTGAACAACAAAAATGGACTCTTATCGTGACTTTGACACCAAGTCATGAACTCTCCCAGTAGACTGACAACCTAACTTCTTCAAAAGTCTGATATCAGGAAGGAGAGGAGGTTGCTTTCCCGTAATTCACATATTCCCAACAGAACTTTATATCCAGCATGTTTGAACTTCTATCAGTACAAAGGTGTTGAGGAATGAGGATACTGTTGGTTCTAGAATTCTAGTGACTAGGATGGGGCATTCTCCAATCTCCTTTAGGATTTTCCTCTCCACAACGGGCATGGTTCAAGATGTTATTTATCAGAGCAACTTGTTGCATGAATGGAATAACATTTGAAGGGGAAAAGAACGATGCTAATCAAAAGTTAATGAAGTATTTGAAAACGATAACGTAGACAAAAAAATCATTTGCTGAGGTACAAAAAATGAGTTTAAATATCACCCAATCAGCTGAGAATGAGAGAGATGCAAGAAGTGAAGGTAAGTTGTCCAGAAAGTGAGAATTGAGGGAGCTGTACTAATTCACCATTGTTCCAAATGTAGGGTAGCACAGCAGCAGGCAATTAAGAATTGATAGGAAACTTTTGCTGGAAACAACTTCTGAAGTTTATAACACAGGAAAGGCTTTTGTTTAGAGTGCAAAATGTAGAGGGAGGATCAAAGTTGAAGGTGAATTTCCTTATTCACATGGAAGATATGGAAACTTCAAAGTTCTGCTCTTTATATGGTGTTTATTAAGGTACGAGAAATACTCAATTATGTTCTTATCTCACGCAAATAGCAATGCAAGAACAGAGACTAATCAGAAACTGTTTCTATATACCCTTGCTCATTGATCAAATAATGTGCTCTCTATAATATATAGACATAACAGACTGACAACTATTTGGGTTTCATCGAGAATCATTTCTATTTTGATACCAAGTTCCATTTTTCCTTTCAAGAAGAATTCAAGTGATACACAACATTCCTTCACAATCAGAAGCCCAGGGAAGATGTTTCAGGTTGCCTTTGTAGGCAATATTATTTTTAGAAAGAAATTATTATTAACTTACTTTTGCAAGTATTTTTATGGTATTAGGAGATCTTTATGTAAAAGTATCTCTACACCATTATGAGTCTTTTTTTATTTAGAATCCTTACTTTAATTTCCTTAGTTTAAGTCTTTTATTCAAACAAGAAAACCTTTACAACCTCTATTTAAATAGGCTGATTGGCAGCAATAAAATTAAGTCAGAAGTTTGTTTTAATTACAGAGGTTTAAGACTCTTTTCTAACGAGTCTAAGGTTAGGAATTCCCTTAGATGAGTTCCACGCATTCATCATAGGTTACTCCCACAGTGTGAATCGTAACAAGGGAAAGGCCCTTAAGATCAAAGCATATTTACTATGAGTGAACCGGCGACTTGATCCCAGATTCGGGACCATAACAGAAAAATATTAAATATGAATTAGAATGGACCTGACTAATTTCCCACTGTTAATATTGCAACCTTTAATCAAGATCAACAACATCCAAAGCAACTATGGCAGTAAAAAAAGAATCTTATGTGAATTATATTCCTCTTACATATGTATTGAAGAAAGGTGTAAACAAACTATAAATTTAGTTAAGTTATGATAAAAGGATTAACTTTATTATTTCAATAGATTCACATCATGGACCAAGTACACATGGATATGCTCAATAAGGTAATAAATAGCAACTTTAAAAGGAAAAGCTACCTCCATTTTCTGAAGCATGTCCTTCAACTTTTCACGTCGCCTTCGTCTTGCATTGTCATCCCCATCTCCTACATCCTGTCCAGCTAACTTGTCACTCTCTGCCACCAATTCTCCATTACATCTTTCACAGTGAAAATATTCATCCTCCAAAGAAACTAATCGCAATGCATCCAAAGCATTGTATCTGAAAACATGGTAATACGACAGCTTCAATTTTTCATTGTTACTAATTTTATAGTAAAAACTATATATACTTTTCAAATGACACACGGAAAGAAAAACAAGAAGAAAAGGAGGAAAAAAGAGAGAAGAAATGGCAGAAACCTTTTCCCACAGCCAGGGCATACATACTCCTGAACGGTATTCTTGTCCTCAAGTTCATCCTTTATTTTTTTCTTCATACGATGAAGTCTATACCTAACAACATCATATATCTACAGAACGCATTGCTTCAGAGATTTTAACAAAATCAGAAGACAGAATCTGCTCAACGCATGATAAAATGGATAAAAAAAGGCACAAGAGGTCTTATCAAGGGAATCATAACGTATCAGTAAGCATATACTTTTTTCTGTTATTGGCATGTATTGGTACCAGCTTAGAATTGGAAAAGCAAAGAAGGAAATAAATAAACAAATCAAAAGTAGCAACCTGTGCATAATCTAGACAACAGTACGAGTGAGTGTGCAATTTAATCTTCTCCTCTCCCTCTTTACCACCCACTTGATTATCAACTGTCGCAGCAACTGCAGCACTATACATCTTTGCCCCTTTTGCTGTCTGTGACCAAATCGAACATCAGTATGCAAGGAAAAACTAAAGGGTCCAATAACAGTACAACCAGAAACTGTTCCAACTCTTAATGAATAAATAAAACATATACAACGTAAATAGAAACCAGACTTTTTGGCCACTTTAAGCGCCACTATGCCTCATTTCTAAGTGAAAATGGGGAACAATTGAAGGCAGCAACAAGGGAAAAGCTAGAGAACTTCAATCATTTGATATGCAAAGTCCATATTTGTAAATTAATACGGAATAAGACAGTGATGATGCAAAGCAGATACAGAATGAATACTTACCGAAAAAATCACATAGAGTGACAACTAAGAAACGTTATTCCAAAGGAAGAAAAAGGAAAAGGAACTATAGCAGACTCTGACCTCTCTCCTATGATCGCGGGTGACTAATTTTTCTTCCTCAAATAGCCGTAAAATCCGCCGAAGTTGCTTAGAATGTAGTTTCAACTCCTTTGCAAAATCTTCTTCCCTAACCCATTGTCTCCTAGAAATGAAAGCAAAAAAAATGAGAATTACAATAACAGAATAAGGAGCCTCAGAAATTGTAAGCCAGAAGCACAGCTAAAACAAACTGGCATGATTAATGCATGCAACCAGAAATTATTCTTGCCAATAAACATATTTGGCATCACAGTATAATTAAATATATCTTGCTAAAATTATTAATCCTAACCTCCTACGGAAAGACTTCTTATTGAACTGGGGAAAATAAAGCTTGCCAAAGTTGTCGTCTAGTCTAACACTTGAGTTTCACCATACTATACCTACTACAAAATACACTCCAACCCTAAACTTCAATGCTACCTTCCCACCTCTCCAACAAACAAAACCACTTCGCCTCCTTTCCTTCACAAACTATTGAAAGAAAACTATTTTCAGTTCTTCTCGAGAGATGAATAAAGAATCAGTACCGGTAAGAGCATCAAGCACTACAACAGCAATCCCTCTATTATCCCCTCGACCCATCTTATGTTGATTATCTCCTTTTGTTGTCACATCATCGTAAAATGCCCGAGCTGCAAGTTTCACCAACCTGTTTTCCCAATCCCAACATAATGTCATGTTTAGTAACACAAGTAATAACATAAGGAAAAAGTTTAATTATTACACGAGTTTTTACATGAACTTTAAAATAGTTTCTAGAAAATAAAGAGGAATTGAGTAAAAAAAACTAAATTAAAAAATTATACTTCATATATTATTTTATCTTTGTTCAAATTAAGCTATGTGATTGACTAAAAATTAACTAGTGAAGGTAGTTTATTTCTACCTCGTATTATAAAACATGAAGGAAAATGAACAATCCCACCAATAAGTAAATCAAGTTGGCAAATTTACAACCTTGGTTTTGTATATCCTCTTGCCCCTAATTTGAAGTGAAAGAAAAGGCACACCTGTTAAACGGTTCGATACTCATATTGATAAAGTGATGGGTGTTAAACAATTTCCTCGTAATCTCCCAAACTAATTCGCATCACATGATTTGTTTCCGAGAGATGAACTGCATCAAGGAATAAAACATGTTGATCTCCAGATCTAGAACGAAGGGGTTCGAAAGAAAAGATGGGTCTGGATGCAAATAAAGTAGGGCTCGAGAGAGAAGCTGATCGTGCAGGTTTTGAAGAAAACCTCAGATTGAGATTTTTTTATAGAGGTAGAGAGGGTAAAAGGAGTAAGTTTATGGTATCGAAGATTAAAAGCTGACTTGATAGCGGCAACAATTGAATGAAAAAAGACGATTCAAAGAGTTTAAAAGCTGGTTGAAGCAAGCAAGTAGGCAGAGCCAAGTTCGGATTGTGGGAGCAGACGGTTTGTGCACTGCGAGATGAAAGAGAAAACGTGTCTGCGCTGCTCACACATTTGGCTTTACAACTCAATAAATAAAGATTTTACTAAATATACTCATTTTGATAAATTATATTTTAGATTTTATGATTAAAATTTAGGATATATTACACTATTGCTCACTGAACTTTACTTTTCTCCTATTTCACTTACTATACTTTTAATTTTTTTCAATTTGTTCACTGAACTTTATACATTAAACTTTTTTAGTCACTCTACCGTTAAATTATTAACGGCGTTATGACATGGCAATATATATCAAAACGTCGTCGCTTTTTATTCCCACATAAAACCAAATATAGTTTAAAATGACGTCATTTTTTGTATTAATTTTAGGGTAAATTATACTAGTGACCACCCAACTATAGCCCATTTTCATTTTGACCAATATTTTTGAATTCTTGTCAATCATGCCATCCAACTATTTAAATGCATTTAATCAGTCCACTTGTCGTTAACATTTAACAGAAGTGCTGACGTGATAGTTAAAAAATTGGTATAATTACATATTTCGTCACTCTTACTTATATATTTTATCAATTTGGTTCTAATTTTAATAAATTAAACTAAAATTAATCTTCCAATTGGATGGTGCCATGTGTCACTATTCAATTTGATGATAATATTTATTTTATTTTTAATTTAATTTATTTATTTTAATTTAATATATTTATTTTTTACCGACTAGATGAAAAGAAAGTTAATGAACAAAGAGATGGCCATAAGAATCAAACCTGGTCCATTTGGTGAGAAGAAGAAAGACCAATCACTAGGCCAAGCTGCTTGTTTGGTTTAAAGAAGACGACATGATGAATATATCTTATATCTTAGACCAAAATTGATTGTTTGGTACGAACCCAAGCCAACATTGAAAATTAAATTTTTTTTCTTTCTAAATTCATATATTAAATTTAATTTGTATCTTGAAATTATATATATATATATATATCAAATTCATATATTTAAAATATATTTTAAATATATGAATTTAAGATAAAAATAAAATTTATTTTCAATGTTTCCAAACAATTAGTTTTGGCCTAAGGAATAAGATATATATATGTCATGTAGTCTTCTTAGAACCATATAAACAAGCTTGAGTTAGTGGTTGGTCTTTCTTCTTCTCACTGAAGGGACTCAGGTCCATTCCCATGGCCTCGTTTATTTGCTTTAATTAAATTGAGGGTAAAGTATAGTAATGGTCACTGAGCTTTTCTAAAGCTTTCATTTAGGTTCCCAACTTTTAAAACTTGTAATACAGTCCCCAACGTTTAGTCCGTTTGCAATATGTTCCAACAATATTTAGTCTATTTGCAATATGATCCCCGACCTTTTGATGTCGTTAGTATGTTTGCAATATGGTCACTGAACTTTTCAAGCACTTGCATTTAGGTCCCCTAACTCTTAAAACTTACAACACAGTTCTAAATTTCATTCTAAACCCCAAAGTCCTTTTCGATCTCGAATTTCCTTTTTCGCTTCTTTCTTCTCATTTCCAGCGTAACTTTTTAGTTGGGGATGCATGAGAAATTCTAATCTAACTTTGAATTATGTGGAGGTGTTAACTTGAATAAGGGTCCATTGAGAGAAAACCCGACCAAGGGATTATCGGGACCATCAACGATTCAAGGTGTAATGTTAGATACAGGTCATCTCAGGTGAAGCATAGATGTTCGATGAAATGCTTGTGAGAAAAAAATGGGATTAGAAATGCAGAGTTGACAAATACTACTAAGATGAAGTATCATTGTTGAAAGTCACCAACAAAGCTGGAATTATTTTGTATAAATGGCATATAATAATTTCTTCGTTTAATCCTTGTGCTTAAAGATTTTCCAACAGATGATCAAATATAACGAAATCTCAAATAGCAGATTCACCTATCAGTCTCTTTTGCAACTCGAAAGGCATCATGACAGGGTCAAGTAGCTGCTCCAAATATACTACACTGTCATGATGCCTTTCGAATTGTGTTGAAAACATTTTTGTATTTCGATATAACAAATTAGTTTAAATGAATTTTAAGATTTTACAAATGATTTTCTAAATATATTCGATTCAATTAATCGAATATCAAATTATTACTCCAAGTCTTTCAAGATCAATTTCAAACCTTACTAAATGTGTAAAATTGTGTTTTATACTTAATATATTTTTGAAACAATTTTCACAAAGTATTTTGAACCGAAATCAAGCCTAAAATCAATTTTTCAGAGTGATGCACCGATGCACCAATCCATGCATCGATGCACTATGAATTAAATTGAACATTGAATGCATTTCATGCATCGATGCACATACCATGCACTGATGCACTGAGGATTTTATGAAAACATCGATGCACTCTGGCTATTTTAAATCATCGAATGCACTTGATGCATCTATGCACTCTTAGTGCACCGATGCACTAAGGGTCCAACGGTAAAAATATTTGAATTTTACACTGATGCACCGATGCACCATGGGTATGCATCGATGCACTGACGCTCCCAACTGTTTTAATTAATTGTTTTCACACTTAAACGACTCTATTGACTCCATTAATCATCCCCAACGTTCAGAAGTGATTAAAGGTGCATTTAAGCAAGCTTAGAAGCCATTGATCAATAACAAGAAACATTAAGCAACTAGAATCAAGAGAGAATCAAAGAGAAAGCATCAAACCTCAAGTTTGAGCATTTCAAGCCTATTTTTCATTCAATATTCATTTTTCTTTCAAGAACACTTATTGTGCTCAATTGTATTTATTCTTGAGTGTTATTCCTTTCTTCTAGAATTGTGTAAACATATTTGCCTTGTGAGGTTTTTCTTGTGAGTTTGCAAATTTGTAATCTTCTCTTTGAGAAAAGAGTGTTCTCAAGAATTGGGGTATATTCTTGAAGGAGTTGTAAGGTTATCTCTTTGGCCTCAAAAGAAAGAACAAATTAGTGAATTTGTTGGAAAATCCTTAGTGTGGATAGCTAAGGTAGTGGACGTAGACTTTGGTTGATAAAGTCGGACCACTATAAATCGCTGTGCAATTACTTTCAATTTTCTGGAAAATTTTAATTGCCAATTCACCCCCCTCTTGGTCGATTCCGTCAATCGATTAACTCAACAATTGGTATCAGAGCCTCACTCATTTTAAGGTTTAATCACCTCTTGAGTCAATTCGGGAAGAGTTAAATTGATAAAGATGACGTCTACTTCCGATTCATTCTCCATTGAAGAATCCAGACCTATTGACGTGCCTCCACACTTCAATGGAACAAATTATGTCATTGGAAGAGGTGTATGATGATATTACTAAAAGCGTTTGATATGGAAGCTTGGATGATAATCAAGAAAGTATATTCCTCTCCTACTAAGAAGGCAAAGAAGTGGAGTATTCAAGAACGGAAGAAAGCTCAACAAAACTCAAAGTCTATACACATGTTGTGTTGTTCAATTGATCCTAATGTATATAAAGGAGTTTCTTCTTGTTCAAGTTCCAAGGAAATGTGGGATAAGCTTGAGGAGATCTATAGAGACAAGGAAGAAGAAGAACCAATAAAAGTGATGTCTCTATTAGCTCTCACAGAGCCAAAGGTATCTTCTAACTCAAATATATCAAATTCAAAATCTTTTAATGAGTTACAAGATGCTTATGATAAATTATTTTTGGAGTTTGAGACCATGAACTCCAAATACAATAAATTGATTTCTAAATTTATTACTAAAAATGATTTTCTTTTGAAAGCTAAAACAGACTTGGAAAATCAAAATAAAATGTTGAGAAATGAGTTAGAGCTTTCAAAAATAAAATCTGAAAACTTTGAAAAAGAAATTTTCAAATTAAACAAACTTCTTCTAGAAATGAAAATGGATTTTGAAAATCAAAATGAAATCTTGAAGAATGATTTAGAACTCTCAAAAATGAAATTTGAAAGTATTGAAAAAGAAAATTTCAATTTGAAAGATAAGCTTGAATATTTAACAAGAGAAAAAGAGATCATTCTAAATAATTCATCTAGTTCAATAATGACAATATGTTCACATTTTCATTATCATGGTCATAAGGAACATACTTGTCCTTTAAAGAAAAGAAAACGATTTAAAATTAGACAAGTATGGGTTCCAAAAGGAACAAGAGGCATTGAAACTAATTTTCAAGGATCCAAAGCAATTTGGATACCAAAATCTACTTAAATGTCTCTTGTAGGTGTGTGAGAGCAGTGGTGATAAAGATGATGATATTCAAGATGCTCTAGCCACGCATAGAAAGGGAATGGGTAACCTCTAAACTTAATGTTTTTTTATTATTTGGTTGCTCATTTAGTTTATGCATGCACGAGTTTTTAAAATGTTGAATTATGTTTTATCTCATGTATGTTCAAAAATATTGTATGATGAACATGGTAATTTTTTGTAATGTTTTATAAACTCTAGTTCATCATATTAATTTTTGGTCAAAAGTTTTTTTTAAATGTAATTGATATCTCTTTAACAATTGATATCGATTTTTCAAGAACTTTGGTTTTGCAAAATTTTGACCTGAAATTTTTCTTAATGTTTATGCATAGATTTTTTTTGTTTAAATATTATAAAGTTTTAATGCATAACATTTTCAAAAACTTTATGCATGTGCTCTTAATCTCTATAATCAACATTGCATAATGTTTTATATGTGAATGAGTTAAAAGCATAATCTTTTGAAAAATAAATTTGATAAAAGATACAATGTTTTATTTTAAATGATTGCAAAATTGATTGACATTGCATCTATTTTCGATTATGCTTGTTGGTCATAAAATAGGGATATATACATGATGCATTTAGATTTTATTGATATGACTATTTT